CTCAAGCTCCGCGCAACAATCATAACGAGCAACACTTCATCACGACACTGYGAAAYACATTTTAGGTTRTACTAARGTAAAGTGAAAGTCAGTAATGTTGTGTATAAAAGACTCTTATTTTGAAATGCCCKGTTACTGAAACAGGATGTGTTAGCACAGGTTAGCGATGTTGACAGTTTGAATATGTGGTTACTTCCCTAGGGAGGTGTGCACGTAAAACTATTAATAACCAGCAGATACAATACAGTCTGTTTTGTACAGGTTTATATTACCTTCACTCATTTAGATCCAAACACCGTCGAGTARGAGCGGTAAATGCTACTAAAATAAAGTTTTTAAAATTACATTTGGAGGGAAGGAAATGGACAGTCCAATCAAAAGGATTTGAGGGCGGAGTCAGACGTCTGACTCRGCCTACTATCCGACCKCACCCCATTCTGCAGTTCACAGCCAGGACCTTCCCCATCTCCATGACCGACAGTCGGCCTGCACCACCCCCCCACTTGCTGTGCATGTAATTCATTCGTATTTTTCTGCAAAAATTACAGATTTTTGAGACTCATTATACAGGTAAACGTTGGAAGGGATGGACATGTATGCTCACACAGCAACACCAGCTGCAGTCAGAGCAGAGCAGAGACCACTGTAAATAAATCAGACATGCACAAAGCTGCTACCACCCTGGTTTACCAAGCAGGATGTAAAATTTTACTGTAATGTGTTTTCCTCTCACGAGTGTCCATCTAATTGTAATGTCAATTTTAAGTGGATTTTTTAATGTCACAAAAAAAAAAAGAAAAAGAAATGCAAATTAGGTGTGTTTCCATCTACTGGTTTGGATTGAATCAACCAGCGCATGGCTGTAGTAAACAGGAAGTAGTATACAGTAGCTTGTATTTTATGTTTTAAAGRACCTTTGTGTCTTTTAAAGGCTCTGTCCGGAGGGCTTTGTGTGCATCAAAGGGGGTCGTAATCCGGACTATGACTACACGAGCTTTGACACCTTCAGTTGGGCTTTCTTGTCCCTYTTCCGACTCATGACTCAGGACTTCTGGGAGAACCTCTACCAGCAGGTGGGCAGAGATCTGGGACTTTGGGAACAAAATATCTGACTTCCTGCTCAGTCTGGTGGACTAACTGCTGGGTTTCGTCTGAACTTCCTCTTCCTCACGTCAGACGTTGCGTGCGGCGGGGAAGCCCTACATGGTCTTCTTTGTGCTGGTGATATTCCTGGGCTCCTTTTACCTGATCAACCTGATCCTGGCTGTGGTGGCCATGGCGTACGACGAGCAGAACCAGGCCACCATAGAGGAGGCTCAGCAGAAGGAGGAGGAGTTCCAGGCCATGCTGGAGCAGCTGAAGAGGCAGCAGGAGGAAGCTCAGGTARGCTCATGTTMGGTAAACYGTAATGGCTTGAACTTAATTAAGGTTTTACCAAGTTTGTATGAACCATAAAGGGCTTTACACTTCYTTCACTCACCCATTRACACACACGCAGGTTCACACAGCTATCCATTTGGGGACATTCCATTGACTTCCATTARATTTCTACAGCCTAAKRCTGACCACAAACCCTAAGGCTAACCTCACAGGTACCTACCTGACCCTAAAACTAATCTAAACTCAATTCACACCTTGGTCCTAAACCCAACCCCCAACCCACCAATGACATTTAAACCAAATGGTGGGTTGGGGGTTGGGTTGGTCCTAAACCCAACCCCCAACCCACCAATGGCATTTAAACCAAATGAGGACTCAACGTTTGTCCCCAAATGTCACCAGAAACAAACCCATTCACACACTGATGGTGGTAAGCTACACTGTAGCCACAGCTGCCCTGGGATACACTGACAGAGGTGTGGCTGCCATGCACTGGTGCCATCGGACCCTCTAACCACCACCAGTAGGCATGGTGGGTGAAGTGTCTTGCCCGAGGACACAACAACCGAGACAGTTGGAATGGGGGATCGAACCGACAACCTCCCGCTTACGGGATGACTCCCCTAGCTGCCCACGTTTGTAAAGATGTRGAAAACATGCAGACGTAAGAGGAACACATTAGGGACTGGGTTTATTTGCCGAGCTTGCAGAACGCTCCAGTCAGTGTTTGTGCTCTGGCTGGAAGCCAGCGTTGTCTGGGAGACGCATGGGTTTAATGCTGGGGATGGCAGACCTCCTCCTCTGCTCCCTCGGCACTCAGGACTCCCCCCACTCCACTTCCAGAGACAGATCTGTAGATTAACAGGAGCTGCAGGCTGGAACAGTGGAGTTTATCTGTTAAAACAAGAAATACAAATAAAAATGTAGTCAGCATTTCAAAACTAATCAGGCTAAATATTCAGRGTGCACCGAGGTGGCTCAGTTATTTCCTGTCTGGAGTCTGTGCAGGGTACAATGAAAGGATGTAGAATCAGATTCAACATTATTTTGATGTATGTATTCTGTCAGCTCTGACTGATGACTGGTTGAAACATCAACAGTTAGTAGGAGCTGTGTCTTGATTTCAGAGCAGCCTTTGATGTTGTTGATCCGGACCTTTTATTTATGAAATTATCAGCGTATTGTTTTAAAAATACAGATATCAAATTTATGAGTAGTTACAGCAGGTAAAATAAGTATTGAACACGTCACCATTTTTCTCAGTAAATATATTACTAGAGGTGCTAATG